GAGAGAATCGTCACTACCAGCGTCATTAGATTTGCGACACAAGACACCAAACTCGAACAAATAAACTTCGTCTTGCAGTGAAAAATATCAACATGCCGAGAATCAAGAACACCCTTCCATCGAAATATGCCCCATTGGTCCTGTGCGTTTGTTTGTGTCGCGTTTCCATTAGGCCTATGTCACGGCAGTAGAGGCGGCGCAACTATAACGATCAGTCTATGATCCCACCCACTTTGAAGCAGTTCTAAACTGCACTGGAAAAGCAAACCGAGCCATACAGGGCTCCTGCCAGTGCGACCAAACTTTGATATAGGTCACGCTGGCACAACCACAACGTTGCCCAGCATCAAATGCGAAACGAAATGTCAAATGTCACTCCCTAATATCTATTTTTTTCCACTCGTTTTGCTTTTGAATTAAAATTAAGACATTATGAATGATAATTAAAGTTAGTTTTATCTACAACTCAAATTAAGTTCAGGCCTTTTTTGTCAGCCCCACACAGTGCTACCAAATACTTTCTGTAGAACTCAGTGGCTCTGGTGCTGCTGCCCTTAAACGTTAGTCTGGAGCCCCTGTGATCTTTTGCCTGTGCTCCTAAAAATGTTCAGTTAGGGGCTACAGCGCTCCTAGTAAAAACAGTTAGTCTGGAGCCCTGCACACCATGCAGTGGAAAAGTGCCATAAGGCAGGGGTGACCAAACTCGGTCACTCAGTTTAGCTCCAACTTGCCTCAACTCATCTGCCTGGATGTTTCTAGAATGCCTACTAAGAGCTTGATTAGCTGGTTCAGGTGTGTCTAATTGCGGTTGGAACTGAACTCTGCAGGACAGTGGCCCTCCAGGAGCAGGACAGTGGCCCTCCAGGAGCAGGACAGTGGCCCTCCAGGAGCAGGACAGTGTTAGCCTACAATAGCCTACTTATTCCACTTCTCAATATATATATATCGATTTACAACTGCATTGCAATTTCCTTCCAAATAAGCACATCGTAAGACCTTGGATGTCTGTATATCAAACTAAGCAGACAAGTTGAAATGTCATTTAGAGGCAAAAACGGTCAACTATAGTTAATGGCCTAATGCCCTGGTGTCACAGTTTTTGTCGCTGGAGCATTAGTTATATATAAATTAGACATTTGAAGTAGGGATGTCAACGATTAATCGATGATCGATTAATTGTCGATAACACGTTTAATCGATAAATCTTATCGATCATCGATTAAGCAGGTTCATGCGCGTGCGTGCTGCTCAACCGCGAAACATGTAAGCAAGCACGCCGGAGTTATGTTTGGGACTATTTTACACCTTCATCATGACTATAAGTTTGCGTGTGCATTCGCTGCCTTTTGTTTTGTGCAAATGTAAGTTGTAATAGTTTATTTTGTGTGCGCCTATCTATATCTGATTTATCTCATATTGGATGCATTTGGTTAAGAATTGACGCAGCGTGATCTTTAGCGCGCGCAGCTCAAATGGCAATGCACGACTAATAACGACTATTGGGACTGTCATATTATATAACATTATAAAGAGAACAATATTGTAATAAAAGGTACTTTGTGAATTATTTGGGTTTAGTTGCCGTGTCGCGTTGTTCAAGGAAGAGCGCGTAGGCTACAACATGAGTCATTCTGAATGGCACGTAACTTAGTTCAAGTTCACTTGTGCATTCACGTCATTTTGTGCAGATATAATTTGTAATATTATGTTTATTTTGTACATATCTGATTAATCTCATTGGATGCGTTTCTTTGAGTTAAATAACGTGCTAGCAAAGTGCTCAACGGTTAAGTTATTCATTCAGCGCGCGCCGCTCAAGCAGAATGCACGACTAATAACGAGGATTAATTTGGGACTGTCATATTACATAACATGAGAACACTATTTTATTAAATCGGTGTGAATTCATTGGGTTTAGTTTGAGGAGGAGAAGGGCGGGGGGCATTTTTTCCAAACAAAAATTACGTTTATCTTGCCGCAATGTTTGCGCTCATTGCATTTTTACAGTGGGGTAATATTGTTGTTAAGAGTTTACACAACACAAGGAAGCTTGATTTAAATTGTTTAATTAAATTAAAAAAAGTAGCACAAATAAATACAATAGAATAAAGATACAAATAAAGACAAATAAAGAGAAAAGTTATAGGGCTACAGAAACTGAATAAAGTAATCAAATGGAAAATAACACTGGGTAGTATTTTAGTCCTGAATAAATTAAATATAGGCTATTAAGCCTGATTCCTTTAACTTAAAGCTATATTTTGTTGTTTTGACAACTAAATTAATGAGCTAGTGCACGGATCCTGTGTTCATTATACTGGCATGCGTTTTATGCTTATTAAAAGACAAAACCGACTATGTTTAGAGTATACTCACGAAGACCGAAATTGACACAATTTTGCGTGTTAAAGCAATATAATCCGCTAAAAATAACTTTTGTTACTGGCCAGCTGTTTTTGAGGCGGATTCTCTATGAATGTGCGCATAGAAAATCATCTCAGAGAGCGCACGAGCACTGATTAGTTTAAAATCGCTTGAATGTTTAAACTGGTAAGACTTAAAAAGACGTGCAAATGGTAAACTTCAGTCACGATGCACTGCTGGCCCGATTGTGCAAGTGAATATTCCGTCATGTCCCGACTCCTAAACGCGAGTGTGTCGCCGCAGCGCTTGATGCTTGCCTTGCACAACACATTTTGAGAGAAGAGAAAGAAGACGCGGCACCGCTGAACACCCACGCTGTTTGTGAAATTGCGCCTGGCAGATAGTTGTTAAAAGAATGATTTGATTTTATAATCTGTGTGGATTACGATTGCGGGAATTTCCTGCATTATAAATGGGAGACCTGTGGGAATTATTAGAATTATGCGCAATACCCGCAATCCCCGCAATCCCGCGCCGAAATTCGAGCACTGTATAATTATCAATCACATCGAAACATTTTACAATCCTACTAGCCCTTTATTTAGATTAAAACCATTCTCATTAATTTGGTGAGGAACATAGCGGTTTGAGCAGCATTTGCAGACGCTGTCATGCTGTTGGCCATATGCACTGCAGCAGACGCATATTGCAGTATTAAGGCTAACGATTAATCGATCGTTAATTTAAACGACGATCGATCATGGGAATTTGTGAAAATTGACATCCCTAATTTGAAGACATTTGTTGAGCTACGGATTATAGGCGTTTACTAGGCAGATTGGTTATGTAGAAAAACAGGATTAAAATAACTAACATATTTTAAAGATCAACCAAGTGCACTTCTACATGCTAAGCTAATGTATTTTGAATATTAGTATACCTATTTCATCAGAATGAAGACCATAGCCTAAAGACAAAAGATTTACTTAGTTACTATTACTCTTTTAAATGGATTAGTGTAGGGCCTACTTGTTCACATGCAAACTATTCGTCTAATCCTGAGAATTGTAGTTTTGTGGCATGCGAACAAATATTGTGTACATTAACTATAGCATGTATAAGTCAGTGTGACAGATCACTGATAACGTCAAGTGTGCATTTACTTAAACTACTTCATTAAAGAGCTGCTAAATAAACAATTATAGGCGAATCATAGCATTTTGCTGTCTGACAACTCCAACTGAACAATACCACGACTGTTCAGGCAAACAGAAGTCACTGAATGCCACCCGGCCAAGGCATTAGAGATGCAGACGGTTATGAACACCTACACGCCAGTCAAACTTCCTGAAAAGTCCCTTTCATCCACCAGGCCTATGATAACTAAATGAGTGAAATTTATCTGCCGAAAATAACAGAAATCATCTTCTATCAGTATAAGCTACTGATATACAGACTCCACTATCTGTCTTATAAATACAAATAAGTCAATGATAAACTTCTGAACAACACTATTTATGAACATGCCACATTTCACCTATCCACTTACAGCCATATACAAAATATTGTATATAATGGGCATTTAATCTAATATATATATACATATAATACTTTTTTATATATTAATGATTTTATGTTCTGAATATTACACATATTATGCATATAAGGGTGCAAATGATGTGCATTTTCTTACGAAAAACTTTCAAAATCTCAATACAGGCCAAAAACAAAACATATGGACCACCAAATTTGCAATCTCTCTCCAGCTATATCAATTCCTGTCCTGAAAGAGTCAAAGAATGAGGCACATGCTGTCATTCATATTAACCAAGAGAAGCTACGTCATGCGTGAAAAGAGTTAAAATGAAGACATCTGAGTTCACAATGAGCTGAATATCTTGTTTACACATCTCGGCCTTGTTTCAAACCCTAGTGTGCTGCCTACCTAGAGAGCATTTTAGGGCATCATATCCGCATCACATTTGGAACGTTTCACGTGCGTTTATGACGCCTGAACCGGTTGTCTACAAAGTCAGCTCACTAGATTTTTAAACACAGCCTATTTCTTACATATACACAGCTCTCTTCCTTAAAGACAGGATTAGAGCAGCTAATGAGCTAAAGCACCGCCACCACGACCCGATCTACGATTACCAGTCACTGATTCAGACGTGAAACGATGAAATAATGATAAAATCAATGAAATTATATTGATCTAATAATGTTTCACGTTGAATTGGTCGTGTTAGCACGTTAGCGCACTGCATTTCCCTTTGTGCCTCTACTGAATCAACCGTATTACAAATAAACACACATACACACGACGGGAAATACGTATTTTTAATAGCATAACGATTGTAAATAATTTGTGAGACAAAATAAATGAAATGAATGCTGTCTATCGGCGGTTGAGATTAAAACACCAAACCCGTTTATAAGAGAGCTAGCAATCGGCTAAGTTACATTAGACCCAAAATACGCCTCGAACCTTCACCGGTGCGTAATGCAGCCGTATCAACGGCAAAGACTGAGGTAAAATCACACCTTTCAGGCGCTGACAGTGGTTATATGTGTGTGTTAAAGCGGGTGAAATGTCGGTGTTTTGTGTCTGAATGGTTATATTTGCTGGCACTCACCAGGAGTAGCTCTGCTCCGCCATGTCAGTCAGTCAGGCAGCGGCTGAGGACTGAGGTTCGGCTCAAAAGACGAGATTATCTCCTCCACACGCTCACGGTTTTCGCCTTCTTCACTGAGCCCCCTCCGATAACAACATGGCGATGTGTTTCCTTCGGCAGCTCGCAGCAGAAATGACAATGATTGTGGCTGTGCTGCTAGCCGAGGCTAAGAAACAAAAGCAGTCCAGGGGGAAAAAAAACTGAAACGTTTCGCTGACTTCAGTTGGCTGTCTGTCCTCAACAGGCCCCGCTTTCAAAGGCCCTCAGATGAGCTGCAAACCCATCTTGGGTGTGCATGCAGAGAGAGAGAGAGGGAGAGCTGTGTGCTGGGTTTGCCCCAATAGCTGTAATGGAAGCGCACGGATAGCTTTGTTTTCTATAGCGAGCGCGCGACTGTACCAGAGAAGTGCGCGTGCACGGCTTTGCCCACACAGATGAGATTGAAGGGACAGGCTCTACCACTAGGTGACTGACATGCAGTATTGCAGTTTCGGGTTGACATGCTTCTCAAAATTGGCTTAGCTGAAATAATATAGTAGGCCTACATTTGAAACGGACAAGTATTATAAAGGCCATGAAGCTGCATATAATTAGCTGATGGAGTCCATGATAAAAAAAAGAGAAAAGAGAGTGCTCTGTGTAAATGATGACTATGTAAATTTCTGTATGTAAATAAAACCACTCTCTCTATATAAACATTCTCATTTCCTTGCCATCATCTAACTTTTGGGTTGCTGTTTTTCTAGCGAAGACTCTGGCTAGTAGTCACAGATTTTCACTCTATCATTTCTCAAGGTAAGTTTCTTTTTTTGAAAGTCAGTTTCTACACACCTTTAAGTCTTGCCAACAACGCTAAAAATATACAGTTCACTGAGCATGTTGATGCCAATAGCGGTGCATGTTGTTACAATGGAACTCGCCATTGAACATAAGCTTTTTAGCAGCATTTAAAGGCAGGGTAGGCGATTTGTTCCAGAAACATTTTTTTGTTATGCTGGTTGAAAGTCTCTTCACATCAGTGGCGTAGGCAGAAATTGTATTTTGGGTGGGCCAGTGAAAATGTGACTGGGCCTATAGTTTTTCCTAGAAAAAAAATGACTTCAATAATAATTAACAATAATAGACAAACTGAAAAAAAAAGTTACACCTTTATATTCGGCAAATCATCATGTTTAACCAACAGAGCTCAATAAAGGCTGGACAAACCAGTATAGACAATAACCTGTCTATTTTATTCAGGCTATTTAGCAGTGCAAATACAGTTCACCCGAAAATAAAGTAAGCTAAAATAATAATATCACAGTTAGATCGGCGGATAAACCCGCGTCAGGCTGACGGGGAGAGAGGGAGCAAGAAGCGGCCGGCGCCAGCACCTGACTAGCCTTCTCCTGGGGTAATGAGTCGGAAGAACTGGGCTGGGTGGACTCGGAAGATGAAGGCAGTGGCGTGTCTTCTTCCTCAACTCTTGCTTTTTGTCAAATAGCACATTAAAGAAAGTTGTTTAGCCATTATTGTGGCGCCGGCGCCGCTCAGAGAGTTTTCCTGTCGGAACCCCCAGCAACCATAGCAACCAATAACGTTCCGGAGAGAGGCTTTCTACAATTTGCTTCACCAGTTAAATTTTATTCGGAAAACAAATTAAACACAGCAGTCAACAATAAATCAGGTATATATTAATATATTTTCATAAATACATTTGAATAATAAAAATAAAATAAAAATGTATTTTTATCAAACTTGCCTGGGCGGGCCAGTGAGTAATGTGGGCGGGCCAGTGCCGCCCTGGCCCAATACTGGCTACGCCCCTGCTTCACATCCTGATGACAATCACTAAGTTAAAGGACAACTCCGGCGCAAAATGAACCTCGGGTGTAATAACACATTGGTACAGACTAAATCGTTCCCTGAGATTTGTTTTCATGATAATCGAATATAAAGAGTTTTATCTCTAAAAACAGTTTAGCTTATAACGCTAGTATATTGGGCATCGAGTAAGCAAAAAGAGATTGCTAGTTAATACCATTAACAAGGCTCAAATTAGCCCCACACTAACACGGCAGCATAATGAGTGTCCTTACATGCAAACCGAAGCATTGAGAACTTTGTAAGTGTATAGACAGTTTAATAAGAAGATACTTTACACAGACAGTACAGTTAGCGCATACAGACAGGAGCCATCTTGGAAAACAGTCTCGATCAATCGAACCACGAAGGTGAGCGAACAGTACGTGTAGATATTGAAGATAAGATAAATTATATTTATTTTTTTATTTTCTCTGTTGCGTTCAGTGCTTCTCTTATGCGCTCAGTGCTTTCTTCCGGAAACAACAGACCATATGAGATTCCAAGTCACAGTTCAGCTCACGTATCACCGTGTTCGTGGTTTGACTGATCGAGACTGTTTTCCAAGATGGCTCCTGTCTGTATGCGCTAACTGTACTGTCTGTGTAAAGTATCTTCTTATTTAACTGTCTATACACTTACAAAGTTCTCAATGCTTCGGTTTGCATGTAAGGACACTCATTATGCTGCCGTGTTAGTGTGGGGCTAATTTGAGCCTTGTTAATAGTATTAACTCCGACCTCTTTTTGCTTACTCGATGCCCAATATACTAGCGTTATAAGCTAAACTGTTTTTAGAGATAAAACTCTTTATATTCGATTATCATGAAAACAAATCTCAGGGAACGATTTAGTCTGTACCAATGTGTTATTACACCCGAGGTTCATTTTGCACCGGAGTTGTCCTTTAAGGGGTGTTCACACTTCATTTGAATAAGTGAGTGTGAACTGCCATCTGAACCCTGGTGCGGTGCACACCAAACAGGCAGAGCGAGACCACTGAAAAGATGGGTCTTGGTCCGCTTCCAAAATGAACTCTGGTGCGGTTCGAATGAAATATGAACGCAACACGAATTAAAGACAGGTAGGCTAAATGAAACACAAATGGGACATGATGTCACAAGATGAGACCCTAAAAAGGACAGAATGCTCAAGCATACCTGTTTTTTCCAGCCATACTTGTTGCCATCACAGTTCGGTACAGGCATCAGAACCGCGTCTCCTCGCTGCAGATCGTTTTTGTGTGACAGAGGGATTCCTGACGCTGTTTTGACTTCTTTACACAGTTTATTAGCTCTTCACGAGTTCTCAGCTGGTCAAAATACCATCATATATAGGCTATGCACATACAACGGGCGCATTTAGCCCAGAACACAGCATTGTTTTGGATGTTCCGTCACAAAATATATTGGACCATCAAATGTTTGTCCAATCATTGCATTCGGCCCGCTACGCAGAGTTGTAGACAGACGTCAGTCACTGAGCACTGCAAACGAAACAGCAGTCACCTTTTATTGTTTCTCCTGAACCAAAAAAAAGAGCTTATGGCCCTGTTCACACCTGGTATTAAGATGCATTTTGGTCAATCGGATCACAAGTAGAAAAGGGAAGGAGACACATTCCCGTTTACACCAGGTGTTTTATTCCATCTCATTTGTTGTCTTTTAACCACTTCTGTCCTGATTTCTTTGAGGGGAGGCTATGGGCAGGTGTTTGTTTTTTTCAGATCTTTCGATCTAATGGACAAAATAAGCTTGCGCAATTTACACATTAACGCGCCCGGAGACCACGGAAAAACATAGGGAGAACAGCAGCTTTCGTTTCTGCTCTGATAGACGCAAGATCACGCTGAACGCTGTGAGTGTGAGAAATCAGGAATGGTGAGAGAACATTGTGCTTGGTAGCGTTTTTTTGGCTTCAAACCAAACTTAGCTCTTTAGCTGATAAAGTTTAAATCCCGTCGGCTAGCGTGTTTCCCATAATGTTTACGCATTAAATCAGTAGGCGGAGAGTAGGCTGTCTTTTGTGGCTGTTTGTACACATTCGACCTCATGAGCGTTTAAAGCAATCCGGTCTAATGCGTTTTGAACTACCTCTGGAAATGATGTTTTATAAACAAAGTTCAGGAGGAGCACGTTCAAATAATCATTCCAATCAACTGGTCATCAAACAATTACCATGTCTACCCTATCAGCACGAGAAGGAGCATATAAATATTCACTCTGTCAACTCACCTAACATTCCTTGACAGTTTCAGCATCCCTCCACCACCCCGACTCCTCACTCTTGGCTTATCTTATTTATTTATTTCACAGCCAGGAATACGGGGGGAGTGCTCTGGGTTCGGGCCGAATACCTAACTCGGAGCCCTCACCGCGGACAGCACGCCAAATACGCATTTATTCTATCTGACTTATTTGTAAGTGTGAACTCGTGAAGTGGTCAAAAGTGGACGAGCTCAAAACGTTTTAGACCCCGTTTACACCTATATTTAGCCTCGTCCACTTGTGAACCGATCAACCAAAACGCATCTTAATACCATGTAAACTTAATAATATCTAAACGGGGCCTATGCTGCGTTCACGCCATAACTGTATTTTGGAAGATATGGAAACCTGTGACGTTATACTCAGAGCAGTTCGTGACTTGAATCAATGCGTTTCCGTGGCAACACTATCAACACCGAAATGAATCTGCAGCAGTCAGGTGCTACAGGTCAGCGCTCTTTAGGTTGTTTATGTTTATTATTATTGTATTGTATATTGTATTTGAGACATGAGGTAGTTTAACGCCGTCTCTCATGACGCTGTTATTTGCTCCCTGCTGTACGCTATTCATGATTTTTTCATTTTGACTAGGTAGCAACGAGTTGTCTCAGAGAGTGATTCATTCATTTTGTGTTGACTGCGCATGCTCAACATCCTATAGGTTCTGTACGGGAAACAAAAATGATTAGTTCACTTCCCGAGTCGTTCGTTCATCCCGTGACAGCCCGATAGAGGCTATGCTGTCTGTACCGGCAAGAGAGATGATTAGTTCACCTCCCGAGAGAACGAATGAAAGAACAAAAGAAAGAATGACTCAGGTTTGGAGGTGAGGTAAACTAACTGACTGCCTAGCCTGAAGACCCAGCTAAGCAATGAATTAATCATTTCTGTTTCTCATAATTTGGCCTTGCTTTGCAGTTTTTTTTTTAAATTAGAAATGTGATCAACATACATCGCGTAAGTATGTGTTGGGGAATTTGGCTATTCAAATTTTAAATATATTCTGCTAAAATGAACGAAATGACTTGAAAAAGGATTTGCTCATTTTGATGAACGAGATTCAAAGATCTGAGTCAGTAAAATGATCCGTACTTCCCATCACCACTGTACATTTTCATGTGTTTTGGAGGAGGAGTGGCTTTGGAGAGCGCTCGGAAGTTATTATATTATATTATTATCAGGGCTTGACATTAAATGAGAACTTTTCATGATTATCAAATGTAAATAGTTTTATCTCTAAAAACAGTTTAGCCTATAACGCTAGTATATTGGGCATAGAGTAATGACAAATAAAAAT